TTTTCAATGGAGTAAAAGACTGAAGGCAGGATTAGTTGACTGTACAATAATTTAGAGTAAGCACATGTATCCAAATATGCAGCTTTTATAAGCAATCAAAAATGCTGGAAGTGGGCCGGCCGAGTGGCGCGATGGTTAAGAGCTGGCTTGGGATGCCAGAGGGCCCTGGTTCAGATCCCACATATGAGGGCCGGTGACACTGCCTCTAAAAAAAAAATCCTGGAAGTGAACATTTTGTTGCTCTTTTTGTTGATTTTTATCCTATGGCCTTTACAGCAACAAAATGAAAATGTGACCACTTATACCTCCAAATTAGTGCCAGAATATTTGGCATTATTGAATTCTTATTGAAAACTAATGAAGGTTTCTTTTCTTTGGCCTCCCAAAGGTGGGAGATGTTTGGAGATGTTTATGACAAGAGGTGAATATTTTCATGTCCTAGTGTTTTCTTTGTAAAGTAGTGACTTCAACTTTCCTCTGTAATGTTTTTGACAGACAATAAAGATTATGATGCATACTTATCATACACCAAAGTGGATCCTGACCAATGGAATCAAGAGACTGGGGAAGAAGAACGCTTTGCTCTAGAAATCCTACCTGATATGCTTGAAAAGCACTATGGATATAAGTTGTTTATACCAGATAGAGATTTAATCCCAACTGGAAGTAAGTTAATATTTTCAGTGGAGAATGTGCATATTCTTGTGTCTATCTGTGTAGTCATCATGTTTTAGAGAAAACTTTCACTTTTGGTTCTTTACTTCAAAAATTGTATGTGTCAGGGGGCCGGCCGAGTGGCTCAGTTGGTTAAGAGCTTGCACAAGAGTGTGAGCTCTGAGCAACAGTGGTTCAATGCCCAGCCCGAGCTGAGCAGCCACTGACCTGCCAACAGATGGCAGGATGGCTCAGCTAAAAACAAACAAATGAAAAACAAACAAACAAAAATAGTATCTGTCAGTTTCTCAAGAAAGGAATGCCATTATCTGTTCATGGGAAACTTAATTGTTGATGCCTCTGAGAAGCTACTGCCCTTATTTTGTAAAGCATCTCATTTTATGAGCCTTGGCATTTACAGAAACCAAATGAGTGATCTGTACCTGGAAAAAAATGTTTCTAACATTAAAAAAAGCAAATCCCATACTCTATTCAGAGTGATCATTGGCTATTTTCATCTTCTCACGATGTTATCCAACAAACACTAATGTATGAACGAGAAGGTACCAGGGCTTTCTGGAACACATGTTCAATTTTGTTTCATTCTAATAAACCTTTTCTCTTTTGTAGCATACATTGAAGATGTAGCAAGGTGTGTAGATCAAAGCAAGCGGCTGATTATTGTCATGACCCCAAATTATGTAGTCAGAAGGGGCTGGAGCATCTTTGAGCTGGAGACCAGACTTCGCAACATGCTTGTGACTGGAGAAATTAAAGTGATATTAATTGAATGCAGTGAACTCCGAGGAATTATGAACTACCAAGAGGTGGAGGCCCTCAAGCACACCATCAAGCTCCTGACGGTTATTAAATGGCATGGACCAAAATGCAACAAGTTGAACTCTAAGTTCTGGAAACGTTTACAATATGAAATGCCTTTTAAGAGGATAGAACCCATTACACACGAGCAGGCTTTAGATGTTAGCGAGCAGGGGCCTTTTGGGGAGCTGCAGACTGTCTCGGCCATTTCCATGGCTGCGGCCACCTCCACAGCTCTAGCCACTGCCCATCCTGATCTCCGTTCCACCTTTCACAACACGTACCATTCACAAATGCGTCAGAAACACTACTACCGAAGCTATGAGTATGACGTACCTCCTACCGGCACCCTGCCTCTTACCTCCATAGGAAATCAGCATACCTACTGTAACATCCCTATGACACTCATCAATGGGCAGCGGCCACAGACAAAATCTAGCAGGGAGCAGAATCCAGATGAGGCCCACACAAACAGTGCCATCCTGCCGCTGTTGCCAAGGGAGACCAGTATATCCAGTGTGATTTGGTGACAGAAAAGCAAGGGACACCCAGTCCCGGGAGCTTGAGTAGAGTCTGCAGTCCAGTGCCTGGAACTAAATCCTCGACTGCTGCTGTTAAAAACATGCATTACAATCTCTAGAACACGAGGAAAAACAGGGTCTTGTACATATGTTTTTTGCAATTTCTTTGTAGCATCAGTGTTCCTGTTTTACCATGTCTCTTATCCATTACATTTTTTTGACTTTGTTTTATATGTCATTGGAATTTGTAAATTTACATTTTTTTAAAGAAGAGACTTATGTATAGATAGAAAACCCTTTTTTGCTTCATGAGTTTAGTTTTAGAATGGGTTTTATTTCCTTTTCTTGATTTTGTTTTGCTTTTAACATTTCCTTGGGGTGCTTGGACAAATCTATCCAATGGGACAAGGAGCACCGGATCCTCTCTTGGGTTCTGCCTAGGATCAGCAGGGCCATGTGGGCCTTCAGAGAGCAGTGCAACGAATGCCAGCATTGCCATTTGGGGGAAAAAAAAAGATGAGAACACTTGTTCATAGGAGGGCCCTGCCATTCAGAGCCCTGAAAATCTTCCTTGTCCCGCCTCATTCCCCACCTCTACCCTTCTAATGGCGGCATGATGTGTAAACTCTGATGAGGGGTGGGGGTAGGTCTAACTGTCTTAACATTTAATTCACTGCTCGTCAGAATACACTCCAGACCCAAAAGTGTGCTAGTCACTTGACTGTGACTACTACAGAATGCTAAGAAGAGAAGATCAAGGGTATGAAAATGGGGGAGAGAGTGTTGTTTCCATTTTTTAAATGAGTTGATGTACCCTTATATAAATATATATAAATATATATATATATATATAAACATACAACAAAACAAAAGAAACAAAACAAAAAAAAAAACACAAAAAAAACCAGCAAAAAAAAAACCACAAAAAAATCAAGTCCTATATTTGATCACTTCCTGGAAAGGCATGAATGTGTTTGTGGCTGTTTTTGTTTAATATTCTACTTCCTCTTTTCTCTATATATTTTTTCTGCAAATGAGATTATGTGCAAATGCCAGGCAAGTTAACTCAAAAGGGTGAATCAACACAAGTCAAAATGAAATTTACATTGAAGGCTTCCAAACCAAAGGGAAGAACAGGATTTGTCATCAAATGTTTTGTCACCTTGTATTATACAAAATGTTATTTTCTAGAGTCAGAACAAATCTGTGAAACTTATTATGGAGTCTCCTTGTATTTAAATGTTAATTCACTATATTTAATTTCCAATGCTACATTCAGAATCAAGTGTTTGGTTTCAGTTTGTGAATGTAAACAACACTTATTAATATCAAAGTGTTTAAATAAGAACTCAGGAGGTCAAACCTACAGAAATCAGTATTTTCAAAATAAATATTATTTACACAAAATAGTTTTTAAATTAGGTGAGAAAGTGTTTGAAATAATTAATTTTACTGTATAAAGAATTAGTTTTATTTTAACTGTATAATTCTATCTTTCAGAAACAGAAAGCTGATGCTCCCAGGAAATTCATCCCTACCATATAGCTTTATGTTTGAAATCAGTGACATAATCAACTAATACATATTTATGTTGAAGATGATGCAAAATCAGTCGTAAAGGAACTTGCAGAGGGCAAAATTGTTAAAGGCAAATATTACCTAAGTAGCTTTTAGTTTAAAAAAAATCAATGTGATAAAAACACTGGTAATAGAACTTATACATTACTTTAGTGATTCTTGTAGGAACTTCCACTCCAGTCATCGTCTGTGGGCTCGTGTAGTGACTATTGTATGTTTGGTTTATTTCTACCACCATAATGAGAAAACAATTCTACAATTTTGGTCACAAAACTAAGGTGAGAGTTGGCCTCCCAAAAAGTGTAAACTTCCATAGAGTTCACTGGGGAGGTAAAATTGAATTGCAAATATATGACAGATGAGTATAAGAACTTTGGAACAATGCAAGCTCTTGGTTTTTGTGTGACAATGTAAAGGAGCCTTGGGATGTGCATTGATTTTTATTTGCTAAAAAAAAAAAATGTTTATTTCCCTGACAACTCACCTGGGTCCTTCTCTACAATCTGTTCTTTATTCCCATGCTCCCCTCGGACCTGTGTCACTTTTTCACAAACCAGAACTGAAGCTGCAAGGACATATAAACTTGAAGGTCAGCTTTGCACATTGGGTTATTTTTCAGAATCCGAGAAGGCCATTGTTTACTTGGTACTATGGACATCTGTCAGGGACTGGTGACAGTGATCCTCATTGGACTGGATTCCAGACTCCCCCAGTGTTCAGAAAATCATAAACATGGCAATGGCCTGATTTATTTCATTTTTTTAATATATTTTTTATTTTTTTAAGTGCACGATGGAAGTGTGGAATAAATGTAGAGGAAATTATCAGACCACAGTCATATTTTAGGCATCCATAGGTGTTCATTTAGCTGTCTTGGGAGTACATTTTTGTTCAATTTTTAGTGTAGATTTAAGCACTTTGAATAGCATGAGGCAGGGATTGATGGGAACTATTTAATATTATCACAACTTAAGAAACGTTTTTTTCCTCTAATGCTTTGTCATATTTTTAAAAAATGAAATAAATGGAGAAGAAGCTACCTATGGCTTGAGAAACATTCCTCCCAAGTATTCCTCTCTCAGCTCCACGTGAGAACAAATGAAGGAAACTGTCACGTGTTCACGTGCGCTATGTTTAACAAAAGTCATGTTAGAACTCACAAGAAAAAGGAAAACAATGTATTTTCCCTAGAGCTTAGGTTTCATCCTTCTCTTTCTTTGGTGGGGGCTATGGGGGATAATAATATTCTAGTTGTAAAAACACAGTTGGAAGTGTGACTGTGTTAGTCAAGCTGAAGGGGAGAATGGGCTTCTGGACTTGAACATGTGTGATGTTTGGTATTGCCTGTTTTTCATCCATCACTGCTCAGTCTCCGAGTGACACATTATGGATTCAAGAGTTCATCTGGTTCTTTAATGTAACTTCTACTTGCTGCCTACGAGCGTCCTACTCTTTATACTTGGTGCTCAAATCTTTGATTATTTAATTTGTAATCCATCCCTTAGATCAATTTATGAAATAAATTTAGATCAATTCTATGAAATAAATCCAAGACACAATGAGTTAAGAGACCTGAACCTACTATATTTCTATAGCTGAACACTTGATTGTTCAGTCAGCCATTTTGTGTTTATTACTTTCTTTATAATATATGCATTAGAACCCTATCAACTTAATCTTAAATATATAGATACTGGTTTCTTCCTTATTTCTTTATTACTTAGTATTTCATAACAAGAGGAAATGTTAACTGACAGCCAACCCCTAAACTCCAAATGAGTTTTATTTATCCTAGAATAGCTGTTAACTTTGACAGATACCACTTATGTAAATTAAGATCACCATTTCTAGGAAACATTAATTCATACATTGGTAAATTATTTTCTGATTCTGGAATGATATCCTAGTTCTCCTTTTTCCAAGAAGTATTTTTTATATTGTGCTTAATTTCTTTATTTTTTAAATTTAGTTTACATTTATATTATTAGTCCCAAAAGAAAGCTTATTGAAATTCAAACGAGGTTATTGGTCTTGTACAAGCAAAATGACTGAATGGAACTAAGAGAATACACAAACATGGAAGAGGAAAATCCTTCATCGTCTCTAATCTGAACCTGCTTGGTCACTATTCCCATTATTGTCACAGTTGATTAAGAGAGGTGGAATATTATTAAATGGGTTAGAAATCCTACCTACAGACACATATTATTTATCACTGAAGATTTCTTTTTTTTTTTTGAATTTTTTTATTGTTAGTTTCAGGTGTGAAGATTTCTTTTAATGATATATACAGTTATTACAAACCGATGATGATGCAACTGAGTTCCTTAAAAGGAGAAGCTTGTCAATGGAGGCAGAGCTATCCGTTGCCTTATGATGAGCCCTGTCCACTTTATTGTTTTGAGCAAAGAAAGTACACAACAGTCAAATTTTGATTATCCTTAACAATAGACCTTAACCTTGGGTTCAGGGACCCCTTGAGTCTATAAAAAGGATTAAAGGAAATAATCAAGTCCTTGAAATTCTTGACAAAATTTTGGATGTGTGCAAAACTACGTTTTCCTGGATATGAGTCTCAAAGACATCCATCACCTGAAAAGCCATTGATGTTTGGATTTAGAGCATATTCTTAGAAACTCACATTCAGATAAACCACACATCTTGCAGGAACTGATATGGCTACCATTCCTCACCGTCATTCATGAAAATTCAGGGACTACTTATTGTTCTTTTAAGAAACAAAGGCAGTTCCTCTTCCAACATGACATGACTTATGGGAGACTTGGTTTACAAGGAGGAAAAACTTTGTATGATGACAAGTAAGTCAGGCCCAGATAAATGAGGATTGACTTATTATTACCATGATAGTTCACTCATTTCTTAATTTACTCAAAAGATAGTTTGGGGGAAATGTGAAATCATGTAATTTGGCATGATGCCTTATTTCATTAACTTTATGATTTGGGTTTAATCATGTTTCCTACAAAACTAAGAAGAATTAACCTAGTATAAGAGTAGAAGAAACAACCATTTGACATGCTTTTCCAAAGGGACCCAGTTTTCTTATGCCAAGATTTAGAATTGGTTATATACTTAGTTTTTAGCAATTGTGCTTTTGCTGGTTTCAGGACTGATGATATGACTGGGGCAATATGAAGAATTTTGAGAATAAACTGAAGTGGTTATTTAAATTTTTACTTTTTACTCGGGATTAGCAACAATGTGAAAGTTTGTGCTATGTTAATAATTAAGATACAAGGAGCTGTAAGACCTAAATTGGAGAAAAGGATGACGACGATGAGTTAATCCTAATCTTACATGTTTTGTCATCATTAAACTTCAGTCAGATTCATGGAAAATGTCCAAACTAAAAAGAAGGAACTCAGCTCTAATCTTCCATTGAGTATCATTTCTTCCTTCCAGGCTTAGAATACAAAACATCTCTCCATTACAGACACAAGGTATAAAAAAGAAAAATTTCCTTCTGCCCTTTAGTAATGTTCCTCTGAATAGTCTGTGAGTCCACTGACAAACTCGTGTTTCTGAATTATTCATTAAAGTGAGTAAAGTAAGGCACCATTGTTTTTCTACCATTCGCCACCTTCATTGATGCATCCCCCAGAGTCCACAGCCTGAAAAGTATTCTTTTTCTAACAAAGGCAATCACTCTAAGTCATTACACTGTATTCCCCCCACAACTAAATGAATAGAAACCGAAACTGCACATGGGACTTGAGACTACTACATGTAATATTGATGTTGTGTAAATTTCAATTGTCATAGTCCAGATAACCTTAAGTTTCAAAGGGCATGCTGGTCATTAAAAAAAAGACTTAATGTAAAATGACATATTACATTGTGCATGAACATGTGGCAAAGTAAATTGGATCTATCCTTACTAGTCAATGAGAGACTAAATTTGGGGAGATCAGATGTGAGTGTTTTAGGTTAATTCTCACTGGGATGAAGACATCTTTACGTTAGAATACATGGACAGTTGTCCATATTCTTTGCAACATATGCTCCTGGTAACTAGAATCCTTAGTGTGTTTTTTCCACCAAAGTAGTGGAGATATGTTCATATAATCTGCTATTGAATTGTAAAAACTTTTACATTTTCAGAGTTTGAGGGAACTCAAATAGGAAAGTGAATTTAGTCATTTTCTTCTGCTGGTGTTCAAGTCAAATTTTAAACTCAGACACTCTCAGATATGTTCAACAGTCAGTAAAAAGTGCATTTTACATAGTGTTTCCCTTTAGTTTTGCCTACCCTCTTTGATTTTGTACAATCTAG